TGTAGGAGGGCCACAAGTGTATCAGCATTGTAACTGTTTCATGCCACCCTTGATGAATTAAGTTGGGATGATTGATTGATTGAAACAACAAGTAATGCTACATCAGAGGTAAGGAGTTTGTTACAGCCATTACTCCTCCATAAGCTATTTTTAACCTTTTAAACTTGAAAACTTATCACTGAGGTAGGAACTTGCTACTGAGTTTAATGAGGAGAGTGAATGGACTACAGTAGCTGGTAAGAACAAAACAGAGTCACAAAAACTACAATAAAAACACAAACTTGTAGAGTTTTGTGTTAGTGTTGTGGATTTTGTGATCTTTTTTAAGTTTGTGTTTGTGTTATATGATTTGTGACTCTGTTTTATTCTTACCAGCCACTGTAATGGACAGTTTAGAAGGTGGAAGTAGTGTTTCACACTTGCTAGAAACATCTAATTGAAAATTCTTACAGCGCAGCACGAAAATTTCATAATGCATCATGTCCCTACTTCAAAAACTGATTGATAGCTTGTTTAGTTAAAGTTTGAATGTGTACTTTCAAGTTCTATCAGTCATGAGACTGCATAAACTTTGAGACAGAATAACAGAAGAAACCCATGCTCTATTCCTTTTTAACCCTTTACACCTTAGCATCAGTATGCATATTCTCCACACTGTTCTTTATACATTTCCTAAGGCACTGACAAGGAGAATTTGTTTGCTGATCTAAAGATTCTTTTCATGGTGATCATTTACTTTATTCTCATGACCTTAATGTGTGATTAAGGGCTGATATTGTAGGGAGAAATAGGAAGCTGGTCAATCTTAGGGTTTAAAGGGTTAAGTGGATCCATCATTATTATTTTCATCCAGCACCCTAAACAACCACCAGCTGAGTCCTCCTATTGATTGATGGTGGATGAAGGACGGTGGAATTTGTAGTGATGCTCAGTTGGTATTTATCAAATCAAACACTGTGATATGACAGTGATCTAAGTCTTACAGAGTGTGTTGTTTGTTTTGTTTAGGCTCCCTTGGGTGGAGTTACGTAATTGATCGCGTTGTTGTGGTTTTGCTGTTCAATGAACCTTTGTGCAAAAGTTGTTGACACTTGCTGTCCTTGTCAGAGTAAAAATTTACCAATGTTTTAAGTTTTGACAATCTATTCTTTTATGTCTGCTCTGTAATAAGTAACTGGAATTTTTTTTTTAATTCTGCACTTCAATTGGGTGGATAGCTCAGTATGTTTTGCTATCACTGATCTGCTAGA